ATTTCATATTATATAGTGGGGGTTCAATCTTCAACTGGCTGGCAGCTGCCACCAACCACTGGCAGGTCACGTGACCTGTCAGTGGCGGCTCCTGCCAGCCAGTTGAAGATTGGAACCCCTACTGCAAATAGAACTAGTGATAACAAGGCGCTCTGATTGTTTTTGTTGTAGAATACGATAGGGGATATATTCACACATTATAGAAACGAAAATTATGGTGTATAAAATTGATTTTAAGATAAAAAATTAGACGACAAAGAATTAACTTGACGGAGCTCAAACTCAAAACACACGGCAGCAACAAACAGTCATAAACCTAATTTGCTAAATGGGCCAAGTGGTATAGCTTACCCTTACACATTTGAAGTAATAAGCACCCTAGTGAGATTAATTTATTGCCTTTTACATCTTCAGTTTCTGACCTGTTTATGTAGAAACATGCTATTTATCTGGTATCCAAGACCTTTGATTATATACCTTGATAATGTGTTACTTTTATTGTCCATACATTCTGACGCCTTCCTTGTATCAGCCGATCCCATAAAATAACCATTGTTAATTGAACCCTATATATATTATCGCTTAGTATGGAAATTACAACCATATGCATTTCACCTTCAAGTACAAAAAAGGTATGCTAGTACACTAGTTTTCATCATGAAGCGATGATTTAATTAGGTTTAATCTAAAGCAGAAAATGGATGTAATGAGTTGAGGTTTCTAACTAGTTTATTAGACATATTAGTGTAGTCTAAAATATATGAAATAATTGAATTATGCCCGACACCCATATCTATGTCATTTAATTACAATAAATTAATCCCCAAATGTATAGTTAGACTATTCTTTTGCATTTTTTCCAACTGTTTTGTTCATTTTAATTTTAATTTCACAACGCATATAGTTTTAAAGCAGCTTCACAGAAAAAGCATGTTTTGTTACATTAAGAAAGTATTCTCTTATCAGTCAGAGATGGGTTGCTAGTTTCAAAGTCATGTCCTAATAGTAGTAATAGTCAGTTATGAGATAATACAAGTTATATGGTTAGTAACGTCATGTAGCATGTACATGTAAACTAAAAGGGGTAAGAAGATGTGCAGATGTTTTTCCAGAGTATAGGAGACAAATCCAAAAAAATAAAAAAACTCTACCTTCTTTAGTAGACTTTGATATCCTTAGTACTATTTCTTTACTATTTCTTATTAAATAAATTGTGTGTGTGTGTGTGTGTGTATATACTGTGTGTGTGTATATATGTATATATATAGCTCAAATTGCTCAAGAAGGTAATGCTGGTTCTGATGGAAAAGTGTCAGAATACACAGTGCATCACAGTTTGTTGCGTATGGGGCTGCATAGCCGCAGACCAGTC